GGATGTAGAATTAACGGACGTGACGTTGTGCGATTGCGTTGCCAGGCAACGCAATTTACAAACTCTTCAACTACAACCCTAATTATATTTAAAAACATTTTAGAAGGCCTCACGAAATACTTTAATGTAAATTAAAATGTAAATGTGAAGGGATGTGTGTAATGTGATGATTGACATTATTCACCCACGGATCTATGGGTTGGGGGTATTGTTCCGCACGGACATTTTAGTTAACCGGACTTACTGTTGATGTGAAATCCGAAAAAAAAATTAAAAATAAAATAATACTTTATTCCGAGTTTGCTTGCTTTTCTCTTTGGAGGTCATCACATAACGGCATTGTAATACACGGTTCGGCTGCATTAAATATTACATATCTGCCGTAGTTCTGTATTTATAGAGCCCTGATGAGAAGACTTCTGGACAAACAGGAAGCACTGCCGCCAAAACTGAAAACGTGACGTGGATCATAAATATATCAGCAATTAAACAACATCTTACATTTCTTTTCACACAATACGTCTCCTTGCAGTATCAATACTAATTCGGCTGACTTTTATATTTGATCCAATTGGTAGATAGGCTGTATTTACACCATAACGGTGCACAGCTGATAGAAAGGCACATCTAGTGGTTAAAGCACGTTATTGAATTGTATTATTTTATTATTTTTCACAAAAATGAAACCATCAATAGCAGAAACAGAATTAACTGTCATTAGTAAACCACCCAAAAAAAAAGATCATAAGTGGTTTTGTTTTATATATATTTTAAGGATAATAATAGCAATGTAACACTGTCTATGACACTTACTGTATAACACTGATTTGAAAAACATACAGAAAAAACGAATTCACTGCCCTTAATAAAGTATTTAAATATACATTTCAGGTGTGCTGTTTTGTTTAGATCATTGACATCTGGAGCTCTTTTAATGTCCTTTTTGATTATTGTTACACCAGGTCTTGTCAAAACCTTTATTCCATATTCAATATCCATTACTAAACAAAACAGCAATTCTACTCCACTACAATTCAGAGGTTAACCTGGTATTTTTACTCCACTACATTTATTTTAGTTACTTTGCAGATTCTGATTAATGATGTGAAATATAAACAACCCTTAAATCAGGCTTTAGTTACACCTGAGAAAAATTCAGGGAAAGGTGATTGTCAAGTGCCAACAATCAGGAGAGATATTTGATAGTTGCTGCTTGAGAAGACTAAACATTTATCTGCAGATCCCTATAAAGTATATTCATTACTCGTTATTCTCTACTAATAGTTAATTAAAGACTGTATATAATGGCTATTTTGCATATCCCTTTCAAGATTTCAAGATTTTCTAAGGTTCATTGACATATCATATACACAACTAATTCAATAACGTGCTTTAACCACTAGGCGGTGCACACAAGGTACACACAGCCATAATAACTTTGTATTATTAGTGTAGGACACTTGTGTATGTATAACATCTGAAGATGTGTAGTTTTATTCATGTTTTCACATAATTGTACAGGATATTGCTATATTATTTCATATGCTTTACTTATAATATCTGATTTGTAAAACATCACAGACAGAAAGGTATATCCGTCATTTAACAGTAAGCTATTGCAATTCTGAATCCATCGATGTGTCTCCCATCACCCAAATCCCCTGACTATTCTCTCAACTCAGTATTTACATTCTTATATTCAAAAAAAATCAGTAATATCTTTAAAAACGACAAGTCCTTTTATATCAGCTGTGCACCGTTATGGTGTATAACGTATTTTTTCTTCGGATTTCACATCAACAGTAAGTCCGCTTAACTAAAATGTCCGTGCGGAACAATACCCCCAACCCATAGATCCGTGGGTGAATAATGTCAATCATCACATTACACACATCCCTTCACATTTACATTTTAATTTACATTAAAGTATTTCGTGAGGCCTTCTAAAATGTTTTTAAATATAATTAGGGTTGTAGTTGAAGACTTTGTAAATTGCGTTGCTTGGCAACGCAATCGCACAACGTCACGTCCGTTAATTCCACATCCACACCAGTCTATGATCCACACACATGGATTAACATCGATTTAATACATTAATGTAGCCTTTGTTTCTGCTAAAAGAGGTGTCGACCAGCTAGGGAAACAAGAAAATCGGCGAAATCAAGTGTGACGATTAAAAAATAAATTAAAAATATCTCATTTTGACAATAAAAACCGACCAATAGGCGCGGTAGACCATTTGCTTGGCACTTCCGGGTATTTCTCCACTGGTTGGGCCATGTTAACAATACCGTGTAACTGTCACGTTTGAAGGGACGAAACCGTGACATATTCACGTCTCCCAGCATGGTAGATCGTCACATGTTCACGTCTTGCCGTGATACTGGGTTGGGTTTGACATATACTGTCAATAGTTAATACAGTGAAACAGTGCAAAGTAGCATTGATCATAGAGCAGACAATTGGTAGATTAGTTAACATGCTTAAAGGTGGGGTATGTCATTTTGGAGAAACCAGCTCGAGTGCGCTAGAATTTGAAAATACACAGCCGGAAAAAATCTGCCATTTCCTTCAGACTTCCTTACAGAGCCCCTCCTCCAACACACACGAACGCGCACATGACCAATGAGGGCACGAGATAAGTTTGTGCACAGATGGAAGGCTGACAGGCAGGTAGGCCATCCAGTTATTTTAGCCGGGCCGGCTAAAATGATTGGTTGTGCTTTTTACAGCGCTACGGCTTCCACAGATGACATTTTTGTATGTATTTATTGTCAAAGCATTTAATATATTCATTGCTATCGGGATGTTAAGAGCATTCCATGGAATATAACAAAAAGTGTTTCTGAAATAAATTACATACCCCACCTTTAAAGCTGTAATTACTGTCAAAGTGAAAGTCTATTAGAAGGGTTTTATATTGAATGACATTTTTGCTATAGAGATGATCTGTGGACGACAGGGATGAGGTAAAGGAGGTTGTAAGATCACACACGGTCACAAGCAAATACATACAAATGTATTAATAAATTCAACCCGGTATTGTTGGTTTATGCTCAAATGCTACATCCTCTTACAAATAAGATATAGATGACTTGAGATTTGACCACAAAGCTTATTTGCAATACCTCTGTGGGTGACAACGACAGATGGCCAGGCCAAAGTTTGAATTCAGGTAACCTCCTGATAGGGAGGCACTCCTGCTTGGTAGGAAACGCCGGGCACCCATCTGCCAGACAGAGAGGTGACAAAGTGATGTAATGTTTTTTATGGAAGCCATGTGAGGTGAGTATACTGATAAACAATACGTTTTGATGAATAGCAGTCATTGCTGTAAAATGTTTGCACTTCCGAGAATTCACCTTCAGCAGCGTGACAGTACAACAACATTCAATCAGTTTGTGTTAAGGAGTTTTACTTTCTACTTATAGTGGGTTTTTTGTCTCAATCTCAACTTTTACATTCATTTCAACTCCATGCTTAAACTGTCAATAGTAACTATCAGATTTGAAAACTTGACTAAAACCACAACTAAAAAGGAAACAGTCTAAAACAGATAACTACATATCCGACCTGTAATATCATTAAGATCTACAACATGTAGCCTTTTTTTGCTAAAACAATTGGGATCCGAAGCTAATAACATGAACATTCAAGTATTTTGGAATCAAAGAATCTGTGGAATCAAAAAGATGAAATGTTAAAAATAAATTAGCTGACTGCATCTTCAAGATAGTTTCTAAGCTACCCTGACTGTCCGGGTGGCATCAACACGTTAAATCTCTATGTGATTCGAAATAAAGTTACCAAAACACAACAACATTATTTTGTGTTTGCAGTTTGAGTAAACCCATACTTCAGTAGACCTTACATCCGTAGCCGGTGAACAGTACTGTCTGCTGCTTCATAGGAAGTTTAGCTAAAATGTGAAACTGTATGGGTTTGTTTTTGGAATCTTTTTTACATTTCTATTTTAGACAGGAGTTCTTATTGATACACACAGTCTCATTCTTAGCTGATAAGTCTACAGTTAACAGATCAATGTACAATGTGTTATCAGCAGAGTCTGAATCTGAATCTTTACTTCTGCACAAAACTTGAATTTCTGCAATCTAACGTTAAACTCAATACATAAACTTATGATAACACAAGTATTTCAATCAAGGTGTGTCTTAAGTAAGTAGACAGTGTCAAAGCGAGGTGAAGTGGCGCCTCCATGTGGTGACATTAATGTTTTGCAACCTAAAAAACCCAGAAAAAACACATACTACATTTTGATTAATCGTAAATACGGTTCATAATAACTAGAAATATAGCTTAAAAATACTTTTAAATCGCTATCAAAATTAGTTACAATTATCAAAAATAACTGTATTATTTTTAATATAATTATTAATTATATTAATTTGTTACGTCTTGGAGCCTTGTATACAATGAACAATATGAATCATTATTATTAATGTAGTCTCATAAAATCGTCTCAAAGTATACTAAACTATGAAATAGGAAATCTGATTAGTAATTCAATTAATTCAATGAATGACTATAAACAATTTGGCCATATAAATAGCTAGTACAGGTTGAAGGAGTTCATAAATCTTAGATGGGAAAGGCTGGCGAATCTAAATCTATCTATAAACAAACCAGCAAAGCACATATAGTAACTACCCTAGAAATAAATGAATGTGACAGATACATTTTTAATAACAAATGGGAAGCGATAGTGAGATTTCAACTTAAGTTTCCCTAATTCGTCAACATGAGGTACTCTGTTACTTAAATTAAAATGAATGATAAATATAAATGATGAACACAAAGGCTGAACATAAGATACATGTGTTAAAGAAATGCAGAGGAGCAAGATATCCTTTCAAAACACACAATCTTTATGGAGGTTGAGATATTCAGCTTTGCATTTTAATTAAAATGTCTAAAACCTTTAGACATTAAACTAATAAATAATGATATTTCTAAACATATTTACTTCAACTGTCATACAGAATACAGAGAGAATCTAACACTGACACTGAGAAAAAGTGAGCATATACGGTACAATTGTCCCCTTTTTATTGCTCCAGGGGAATGAGATACATCTTGATTCAAAGTGTGCACTGAATATGTGAAACATTAGCACATAAACTGACATTATTCACAGCAATTCACAATACAACATGTTTTGTTACACAGTATATTCAGGGTGTGGCTTTATCCCAGCTTGTAGACAGCGTCAGAGTGAAGTGGCTCCCTCATGTGGTGAGTTGGTGAATATCAGCAACAGCCTCTCTTCATTTCTGAATGCTTTGCCCAAATTGCAGCTGGCTAGAGACTTGATTCAGTTCAATCAGGAGAGATTCCTTCTGAGTATGCAAGAATCTTTATTGACATTTGCACTAGAAGTAGTGGGGAAATTATTTGCGACTAGACCCCATGATATCATTTATTTTAAGGGGGAGTTGAAGCTAGAATAGGATACCCATTCAAACAGAAAAGTAAAGAATGAGAAGTTAGGAGCAAACCACTTGATGTGATCTTTACCTTACTAACAGTTCCAGTAGGTAATACAATCAGAAATAAACAGAGAATGCAAAGCCGCAAAGGCGGTTCATTATTTAAGAACCCCCTTAAAATGTGTGCCGAAAAACAGATCAAAATGAGAAATGGTTAGTAGAACATCTTAAATAACATAGTAAAAGGAATTAAGTGAGCCGTTACAAATACAAATTAAATTGCGACGACCAAACAAAAACTAATGTCAAACTACAAATAGAAAATTAGTTTACATTGACCATAGGTGTCAGAAGGTAAAAACGTCAAAAACAAGCATAAATAAAAGGTCATAAAACAGAACAAATGCAAATGAGGTCTGACAAAGCAGTAATGAAGTCACAAAGACAAACAGGAATTGCCAAAAATATGTACCAATAAACAGAATACCATAAATACAATATATACATATATATATTTAAATATATATCATTTTCATAAACGTCAGATTGCCCACAATCCCATCTCTTTCTCTACTCCCATACATTTCAGTCTTCCGTTAATGTGGAAGAAGATAATTGAGACTTCTCCCTGATTTATAATTCCCATGCAGGGTTAATGTTAGCATCAGCTTAAGATCTGTTCAGTGTTTCCACAATATACGCTCATGTACTCTGGAAACATGTTTTTACAAACTGCTGTGCACTATTATAATTTCATTAAAAGTATTCAGAGGGTTTGAAGAAGAACATTTCTTCTATAAACAGTAACACATTACTTCAAGTCTCTACTGGCTGATTGTTTTGGTATAATTCTGAATGAGTCCTTGGAAGTACTCATGTGTGTTTTTGTATGATTGAAAAATCATGATGTAGCATTTTGGGAGGAAGTACCACACCAGAAAGGAGTAGAGACTGGAGAGTATGGCCAGAGCGTTCAGTATTGGGATGTACTTTCCATGGTAAAGCATATATGTAGTAGCAAAGATGATCCATGTGAGGATCAGCAGGAGCAGACAGAAGGTTATTGCTTTGGCCTCATTGTAATTTTTCGGGAGGTCTTTCCCCATGTAGGAGAAAATAAAGCAAAGGGAGCACAAAGACAAGAGGAACAACACAGGGCCAGAGGTGGCTTTGAGATTAAGGTCACAACCAAGTATGATTTTGTCTGGGTACCAAACTGTTTCCTTGAAGGTGTCAGGATGGGAACAAGTATAGCCAATAAGAAGTAAGAGTGCCTGAATACCAAATGCCACAGTGATGACCAGCCATTGTCCATGATACTTCATCCACCAACTGTGGAGTTTGGGGAAATTGGCGGCAATTTTGAAGATGAAAACAATTTGAAAAGAGCGCACAACGAAACACGCGAGACAAACTGTGTAGAACAAGAGAAATGGTAAAAACCTCAGGATACAGGAGGAAGTTGTTGGCTCACCAAAGTAAAAGAACACACTTATACTACACAGACCGAGGCAGACTAAAATGAGGAAGCACATTGGTCCCCCAGCAGATCTGACAACAGGTGTGTTGTAGTTGATGGCAAAGAGAACAGATACAGCGAGTGTGAAGCCCACCAAGGCCCAGGCCCCCAACATGATCAGTATAGCCCCGGTGTCTGTGAACGGGATGTACTCCACCGACCGCAGGTTGCATGATGTACTTCTTGCTGCAGACCATTCTGTCTCCTTACAGTTGATGCACCTGTAGGCATCCTCTGTTTTCACATGAGAGAAAGACACGTTGTAAATGTTAAGATTCACTTTTGAAATGTCTTCAAGTGAGATTGAACGGATAAGGAAGCTTGGTTAACCCTTAATCTGATACTATATGTTTAAAGCTATCTTTTAGTTCATTTCAAACTTGCTTTACCCTTTACACTGAGAGGTAATTATAAATAGTTTGCATGTGCAGTTTTCAGAGCCTTCATAACGGTGTCCACTCAACATAAATCATGTTAAACCTTTTAAGCCATAGAAAAATATCTATAATGAGTTCCCTTCATAGCCAGAATGACAGCACAGTTTTTACTAATTCTCTTCCTCATAACTTACCTGTGGTGTTATGTGTTACATAACTTCCACCTGGACAGATTTCACAATCGAAGCAGCATTGGTGGGTTCCAGTATACTTTTTTACAAATCCAACAAGACATTCTTTGGAACACACTGACGTAGGTGGCACCTGCACAAAACAATGATACAGCATAAAATGTAATGCAGAGAGTAGAGTGGAAAATGCAAGTCAGTCAGCCATTAGTGAAAACATGTGGTTAAGAGTGAGGCCTTGGAGTACTTTTACTCATGATACTTGAGGTATATTTATCAGATAATACTTCTGTAGTTTATATTATTCTGAAATAGGCAAATGTGCACAATTAGTACTTTTACTTTTTGCTTTAAAGTGTAAAAGCAAAAAAGTGTGTACTTTTAATTAAGTAAAAATATCTGAGTACTTCTTCCAACACTGATAATAATACACTTTAGAATGCACTCATGTATAAAATGTGGTCTTCTAAACAGTATTACCCAAAGTATTTTTAAATCAACACAGAGTAAAGGAACTTATAAAAGGGAAAACAACTTACTTCTCCGTCTTTGTGCCATTTAATTTGGCTATTGTTGATGAATAATTTGGCTGATCGGTCAAAATGATAAAAGCCAATCTCCTCTGCATGACCAGTGTGGTTCCAGAAAACGACAGAATATGATCCAAAGTCGGGGTCACCATTCTCATCAAACCGAATGCTTTGATTTAAAAGAGTAAAGTCGGACTTCTTTAGCTCCGCTAGAAGCTGATGTGGGAACAAAAAGTTCAGATTACTTTTACATTTATTCAAAAATGAACATACGGGTCAACCCTGTTTAGAGTTTCAAGGTTGTTTATTAGATTGTGCACAGCTAACAATAAATTGAATCATTACAATTAAATAAGTTTGTCTTACAGACAGACCTATTTAATTGTAATGATTGTCATGGTGAATGGACACGGAAACATGAGTGAACTTTAACAAAGATTGCCAATTTCATTAGATGCTTAATCCATAGAATGTGAAGCATAGATTCCCAAGAATACATTTAATAAATGATCAAATTATTTGTATACTTACCATGTGTGGGAAGACTGTAATATTGTCATTACATCTGCCAGATCCACATTGCAGGGCATTGTGTAAGGCATGAGCGATGGCATACACAGCAGAATAAACGGGGAAATTAAAAGAAGGGTCTGCAGCAACAACATCTTCTGCGCTCAGGCTGCTGCAGTTGCAAACCTGATTGCAATGTATATTTTGTGATGCATTTTCACAATAGGTACGTCTTCTGGAAAAATGGATAAAATCACTGAAACCAGGTATTGTCACTCTTTTTTCAGAAACTCCGATCACAGTTCCAATATTTCTGATTCTTGTATTCCTCGGGAGATTCTTGTTTAAGGACCATGCATCTGAGGCGATCCACACTTTGTTGGTGACATTCTGGTTTATTGCCGACTCAATGAGAGCTTCGGCAGTCCATTCAGGAGCAAACACAATGATGGCACCTATTCTATGTGCATTGATCTGTTTGAATATTTGGGAGTGGTTTGTATATTGATTCAGGCCTTTGATGTATGCCAGGCAGATTTGAGTATCCTTAATCTTCTTCATGAATAATTCCAGGCCGTTGTTGCCATAATCATCGCTAATGTAAAGGAAAGCAACCCAGTGCCAGTCGAAGTGCAGCAGAATCGCAACAATTAACTCAATGACGTCTTTATTGGGTTGCACTGTTCGCAGGAAATAGGGAAATTTCTGTTTTCTTGAGAAGGCAGAACTAGCAGCCCCATAACTGATCTGTTAAAGAGTATTAGAAAACATCGTCACCATTTTTAGTGCCAAATTAAAAGTTACACAAAAGTGTACATAAAACTGATTTTATTATTTGATCCATTTGGAAAACTTACCATAGGAATCTGATTCATCATGAGAAGTGGGGCCACAGCCAGGGCCTTAGTGCTTGTATAAGGGCCGACCACTGCCATCACTTTGGACAGATTCTCGTGTGGTTCACCCCAAGGTTGGACCAAGCCATTTGCTGATATGAAGTAAAAAAGGCCTGGGAAATTGTGTGTATCTGAGCATTGGTCAAATATCTCATAGCCGAGAGATACGTTTGGCAGGAGGTTGGTAGAGTTATTGATTTCATCTACAGCGAATCTCATCAACTGAAACCTCCGATAACTTGAAGAAATTAGGGGTTTACTGCAGATAGAGAAAATAAGTTATGATTACATTCATTGTTCAAGTACGTTTATTGGAACAAAGAATTCAAGTTTGATAATAAAGCAATAATACAATTATATTTGCTACTATCTATAAATCCATTTAAGATAAGATAAGATAAGATGGACCTTTATTAATCCCCGTGGGGAAATTCAGTAATTTAACAGCAACAGGGTAAGGATGAAAAACAGGACAGCACAGATTCACACAGATTAATAAAATGAAGGATAAAGAAAAGAAAATGATAAAATAACTATAAAATAAGAAATTAATTCAAATGAACATTATATACATCTTTATGTCCAGTAATTGCGTCACATTGTCGACCCCTTGTTGTGCAGACTGATGGCATTTACCTGACGATTAATGTCTTTATGATATAGTCTGGTACACCAGGCGTTTTTCCTTATTTTCAACCTTGAAAGGTATCCCTCAGATGTATTATAAGACTCACCTGGCGCAGTCGACGGCTTCTGGTCTGTCATGAGAATCAGGATCACTATCATGATGAATACCAAAAAGTCCACCCAACAAATAATCTCCTTCCAGCCGAAACTCTGAGGCACTGCATTGAGCCAAGGCATGTATAAACATTCCCAGGAGACACAGAGAAACTAGAAAATGTTTCATTGTGCTAGTTACCAACTGATCTGATGTGGACTTGGGAGTTGTCATATATGCCTCGCTTGGATGAGAATAAACAAATCAACATGCAAAACACATCTGCACTCACAGTCCCTGTGATGTAGAAAGTGTTCAGACTGCTTCCTTTTTTAATGTTGCAACCTTATTATGAAATACTTCAAAAACCCAATAATGACAAACTACATAGTTGTAAAATATGTTACATGCTATAACACTATAACATGTACCGAGAACCTTTACTAAAACACTAGCAATGTAGCTTAGGTGCCGACCATTTCTCTTGATCCTCTTTCATATTTTTGAAGTTTTAGTTTGGAGTCTGGAATCTGTGGTATAAATGAGTTTGAAAACCAAAGCAAAGTATGTAAAGGTTAAGACTAAATAATGCTCAAAAGTTAGGTTAACTATTGGTGATCTCTTATACCCACAAGTCTCATCATTACAGACATGCCCACATGCCCATGGGTTAAAACCCATGTTGTTTTTTGCATGCGGTATAAATGTGTTATTTTAAATTCAAAACACTTTTTTTACGTAGCATAAATTGGATTATGACAGGAAAGCATAGTCTTCTGGATTCAATGAGCCCATATGTACTGATATGTGAAGATGTTGTCCCTATAGCCATTTCATTGTTCATATTATATGGAGGTCATATTTTAAAACTTGACCCAAACACATAAAAATTGCTTTTGTGAGCTCTAGGTCTTTAAAAGTGTAACGTGCTAAGGTGTCCTCTAAGTAACTGCAGATGTTCTAAGCCAGGGGTGTCCGAACCTTTTTCACCGAGGGCCACATCCAGAAAAATATACGAAGGGCTGGGCCACTCACTGGAGGTGAGGTGCTTTATTTAAGTTATGAATTAGCACAATCAATCAAATTTAGGAAAATTGTGATTGATACTTGAATATACTTCAACAAAGAAACAGCCTCCATCACAGCTCTCCATCGGGTTTCATGTATTTTGTTTGCAGTTCATTCCTTAAAATAGAAGCCTCAGATTGCTTATCATAAGAGGACATATGAAGGCTCTATTTCGAACTTGTTATGTAAATAAGTTATTGGGCTTTTTCTCAACTTAGATTTGATTAACAAATGTTTTCACCTTGAATTGTCTGAATTTATTTGGAAAGTGGGATGACATGAATACTGTGTAATATATGTTTACATATATATTTAGGAAGTACAATACAAAACAAGCACAAGTTTCATTTGTGGGCCTTATTTCATTATACTTTTTTGAATTAGCTGAGGGCCGTTTCAAAATGGCCTGCGGGCCGCATTTGGCCCCCGGGCCGTAGTTTGGACACCCCTGTTCTAAGCCTATATACACACTCTAAACTTTCAAAGATTTGTACACAATGTGCTGAGCTGCGTATTAAATTGATCTACTGGTCCCAGCTTTCAGGTAATGTATAACTACAATGTGGCGTATACTGTTGAAGAGGATCATTTTCCTTCATATCACTGTTGCACTTTTTCGTATTACCTCTGCTCCATTAGTATCTACAAAATATAAGGCAGAGACAACTATGAGGTTTGAAGGGACACAGCCTCTTTAATAGCATTTGGAGTGAAAAAAATTACACTTAAGTTATTAAAATCAAGTTGTTGTTTATAACTGTAGCACAAGAAAACAATAACATGCAATCCATGAGAAACATATTTAATTCATCAAATCTAGAACCCAATTAACCTGTTCTGCTTTATCAATTTCAACTTAAACGGATTTAAACATTTGGAAACAGTATGGTAGTTGGAAGAAAAACGAAAATAAAAATAATCTCAAAAAAATTTCATATTTTAAAATATATATATATACAAATCCTCCAGACAACCCTTTGAAACACAGACTTTTTACACAAATGTTTTGATCCCTTACTACAGTTCTGATCAAAGTTTAATAATGACAGATAATCCCCAGCAGTCAGGAGAAAAATGGAGAAAAAGAAAATCAACAGATTTATAGAAGAAAAAAAAAAAAGGTCAGATCACCACCCACTTCATCCATGTTATAATAAAAGCTCTCAATCTCTGTTTTCTTATGTTTCCTCTGCAAAAGAAAGAGAACAAAAGTTTGCTTGGAATGACTACATTTACCACATTTGTTTTAAATTAAACACAGATTATGAATGACTACAACAGCTAGTCTACATACATTGAATTTACCCCAGGCTTTGAAACCCAGATAAATGTTTCAAAGAGAAAGGGGCGTTGGGATAAACATGTAATTGCTTTGACTATTTTCTCAGATTAGACCTCGTTATAAAATGGACTTCAATACTTGTTGTGCACTAAGAAGAAATGTGTATATTTTGAATAATTATGCACATTTAGTGTTAAGATCTGACTGAGAATGACTTGCCATTTCAAGATAAATACAAAATAATTCCATAGGGGTGCTCAACGACATACAGTAGTATGGTCATCTGTTAAACTCTACAACAGCGCTAAAGTAGACGGAACTGATTTAAAAAAATGTAGACTACAGGCTACAGGAGGCTAAATGGGTTGGGACTGGTGACATTCACTTTGAATTATGCATTCAATGATGTGGCTGAATATTTGAAGGAAGTCCCTGTTAATCTTCCATTTTTTGCTCTACTGGCTATGTGAGAATCAGGTAATACACAGAATTGTTGCAAATTCAAGATAGACACATTTAGGTTTATTTGTGTAATTGACCAAGAGATGAATTTTGATCGGTGCTTTTCTGCCTTATCATGAACGCATATTCAAGCGAAGTGTGACTAATGCTCCAAAGTGTCTGCATGGGTAGAGGACAACTGGTGAAGACACTTGTGAGTTGGAGCAGCACACTTGTATAACGATAGATGAAGTTATTTTAACTTGAAGACCATAGCTTTCCCTTCAGATTACTCACACACTCATGTTATCTTTCTAACAATAAAGACTTTCAATATTTAACTTGTTACAAATAAGAAGGTACCAATATATTAATCAAAAGTTGGCAGATTTATTTCACTTGTGATAAGGAGATGTACTGGAATCATTATTATTGAAAAGAATAACAAAAAATAAAAATACACTAATTTCACTGCAACTTCTTTCAGTGTGGTTCCTTCTTGGTGACTTTATACTTACCCCATGGGGTTTCAAAGGCAAAAGGCAGTACTGAGTCTCACCAACTACTGAACAAATGCAGACCTATCCTAAATATGAGGATCTGGGTCCTCGAAAGAAAAAGAAGAAATATCTATCCCTCAATATACAAAGACTAACTTGAGCCATGCTGCTCATATGAAAACTTGTATTTTGTGTTATGTTTCCATGTTAATGTCCCGCTCATAAAAAAAGAAAAGAAATCCCTAACAACCCTTTGTCATTTCCCACTGGCTGTGACCAATTAATTTAAAATGAGAGGGAGAGGAAGGGTATGAGGGAGGTTTTAACTAGCAAAAGGTTTCCCTGTCTCGTCCTTGCCTTTGTATGTCCTCTTCCCGTGTGTGAAGGGCAGGTATCTGTACTTGACCATATGCTGGAGAAAGTGGGGAAGAAAAGAAAGAGAATTAACAATAGGTCATTCTAGGAATTTCAAACGTTTTTTTATCAACTTATCCAATGAGATACATTGGCACAAAGATTGCTCAGCAGGTTGATAAAAGACATCCCAAGCAATGTGTTGTCCAAAGAACACAGTTTTGTTAAACTGCAATGTTTGCAATTCACTGTGACTCTAGAACAGTGTCAATGTAACCAGTGGCTGTATACGTCAGTTCGTGCATTTACCTTGATCTGCCTCTTCATGGTGATGCAGAAGAGCATGATGAAGTACATAACAAGTATAGGCCAGAACACTGGCACGTTGAAGGCTTCAAAAAATGTGCAAATCATGGCGATGACGATGCCTTTTGTCGCCGAATGCCTGCCAAGGAAAGTAACAGTTATAAAAAAAAAGTGCAACCACATTTGTGAGGAAGCATAAATCCACAATTGAACCGTTCCCTAAATGTGTAATGTTCGGCCAAAGGCTAAAATATGGTTTGGTTTGCAATAATTGTGGCAAAAGTAATGTTAGGAAGTGGAAACACATTTGACAAACTCTTGTCAATATCAACAAAAAGGTTGTTAGCTAAACATAATGCCCTAATATTCTAATGCATGGTAATTTCTCAGGTGCAGTTGTCACAGTGACACATTTTGAATTAACTACTCGGTACCATTTCAGTTAAATCAACCACATGGTCATTCCATGGAAAGATGAACCAACACATTTCTTTTCATATAATAGGCAAATGCGAACTGCATGAGGGATGCAAAACCACCTTTTATTCTTCCTGCCTGAGCAAACAAGAGTATAATAGTTTGCATAAACACACTGCATGAAAGGTATAACACAAAGTGTTGATGCTAGAACAAATACATGTCGAGTTATGCTCAATTAGTAGTATTTTAGTTTATCCACCATTTTTACAATTGCTGTACATTAACTGTCACAGCGGAAGTTTTTCAAGACTTACAAGGGTCAAATATGTTTCTATGTGTAAGGTCTCTAGGAGACATTAATGCTAAGGACATGGTCAATGAATGACATGAATTAAATAGAGATTAAGTTGAGGAGAGGGTGCAAGATCACATATAGTACGGTTACACGCAAATACATGCAGCTTAATTCAATTCAACTTGTTTGCTTAATGCTACAAATTCTACAAGTGAGCTCTGCATGGCTTAAACAGTGACCACACGGCTCATTCCAAAGAATTTCATTGGAACTCTGTGGAGGACAATTATAAATGGCGAGGCGATGAGCTGGACTCACCAGAATTTGAATTCAGGCAACCTCCTGATGAAAGGGCGGAACTCCTCGTTCTGCTTGGTGGGAAGGGATGGGCCCTCATCTGCAGGACAGAGAGGAACCATGGCATGGATGTAAATAAAAAGGTATATAAAGATAGATAATGGATATCTTACTGGCAACATTCCCACCTTACAAAAAACTGATTGAAATGGACAGTTTTCATTTTGTCAACATACCTTCGTCAAGCATTGAAGGATCCACTTTTGGCGATAGAAAAGCAATGAACAGGTTGAGATGGTAGATTCCCAAAGCATATGTTACTATATACCAACCCTGAAAAGCAACACAAGGAACATCACAACATTAAAAGGCTGTCTGGGCAGCCAGGAAACATGAATGTGCAGCTTTGTTAGTGAACATTTCTGACACAAATGATGAATAATCTCATGGAACCAGAGCGAGTAGACAAAAAGACACATATCAGGCATTAAACAGGTGTTAAAAGAAAACAAATACATATGCACAATCAACGCCCAATCTTTTAATCATTGCTCTAAATCAGCCATAAACAGTGATTCTTACACAATACCGTACAACAACAGCATAAAGTTAAATAACTACTATTAGAGGCAAATGAACACCTCAATTGCAGGGCGAGTGTATATCATTGTGTTAGTAATATCATTGTGTTAGTAACAGTATTGCTTTTCTTAAAACTCTTTATAGATCTAATGGCTAACATCTGTCGACTTCCCTCAGCACATAACAACATAGTACATTAAAACATGTATAAAATGAACAAGTACCTGTAGTATGTACACTCTGATCATGTAGATGGCAGTAAGTAGTAGAGTGCCTCCCCATCGCCCTAGGTGGAATGGCGTTGACTTGTCTAGCCATGACTGATAGACCTGTTACATAAAGGAAACAAAATGTAGTGAGGTAGAGAATTTCATTTGAGGAAACAAGTAACATAAAACCTTAGATATATCACTGGAGAGCCTTTGAAAAACATTTTCACTTTCACTTCATTAACTGAGCAATGCCATGACTACCATGGCCCTGCTTTATACTAACCGAGTGTATATATATATATATATATATATATATATATATTTTTTTTTTATTCATTTATATTATAAATCAAGTATCCCCTAAATGTATGAATTACTCTGAATGACGGACCAATAGAATAAGACAAATCAAAGGCCACCCTCCCACTTACAATCACAATACATTGATAAGGTTTCAGCACTGAAACCATAGCTGAGTTTGAACCTTAGGAAGTACTACTGAGTGGTTATTTTACATAGAAAAGGAGAAAATGCCACTGGCACAACTTTTTATAGAAGTGACAGGTTCATTTTAACCTGCTTAGCATTTAAGCAGAACATCGAAATATTTGCACTTCTGTTAGTATTAGTAGACTGGTTGCTTGAAACATATGCCATCCAGTGTTAAGGGCAGAGCAGCAAATGATTTAATCCATTATTATTTAAATTAATGTGATCTTTGCAATAGATACATACCTGTCCGACCCGTGTGAAAAAGGCACCGACTACAGACGTTTTCCCATGGATTGACTCCCCAGCACTGTCCCCTTCTGACATTCTGATTAAATTAAACACACATTTTGATTAGTGGTGCATGAATAAAGGCAAGTCCTACTGAAAAAGACTTAGGGTGCAGTGTGTAGTTCCAATATATTGCATAAACAAGTCTAGCATCTTCCACACTTGGGTATATTGGCTGATTTTTAAATCCAGGTTTGTAAGGCAGAAAGAGGGACGTATTTTTTTTTTAAGGAGAAAGACCCTTCAACACACTTTAATTATTGTTTACTGTCTTTTAAGTATTGTTTGACCTCTTAATAGGGATATATACATGCAATGTAGGTTTTTGAAGTACCTTATTACCCTGAATTTGGGATACCACTTGAACAAGACACCTTCCCAAACTGTAACATCTGAAACAAAATGCAGTGCTTCTAAAATGAATAAAGCTGATAGCATTATTAACATGAAATACTGCTAGGCCTTCTATAAGCAATTGTACTCAGGCAATTGCTTGAAATCACAATCGCCTGTAAATATGAATGGGATTGTAGCAGTTAAAGGTCAATAATATCATAAAGTTAACAACATGAGGTGGATATACATATCTACTGTAAAAAGCATCTGCTTTGCTTTAAGTCCACCCAAGAAAACATAAAACCGTAGAAGAGGACATGCATATTTCTGTCTGACTCTGTACACACCAGTACAGTATGTGTTTTCTAAATTCTGCCTCAACTCTGTGCCTGCTTTTCGATTGAACCGACACATAACCTATCCAGTAAGACTACCTTAGAATGCGCCTACAGAAATCAGTGCCCAGCTTTTTGGAACTGTACAGAGTACAATCTCTGTTGTTGTTTACTCTTCTAACTGTGATGAAGTAAATCCAGGTGGGCAGCTGTCTGACAGGCTCACATGACCAGTGCGAGAGATCAGAAGGATATCTATGTAGATTACGGAAATTGGTGAATGGCCTACAGAGAAAAAACAATTAATCGTTCTATTAAATAAAAACAAGCAACATAACTACTTAAAAAACTGAAATATATCAATTGGCGACATCTGTTAGCTAGTTTCGCTTTGGACTATTCCCAGATAAATTCGCCTCGTAACGAGTGGATCATGAAATGTCTGTAACGTTAGCCGGTTGCCCCATTAAACATTTGAAGCTTGGGTTTAGGTTTCAGATATTTCATTCCCAACTTGTACTGTGTTGCCGTATCAATTAAACACGCCATTTAATTACTATTTTTCACATGCAACATTAGCTTAAAAAACGCAAAACCGTGTAAAACTGTTCGTGGTTGTGGCTAACATTAGCTGCATAACTAGCTTACAGGCTTTTGGAAGTCAGGAAGGCAGCTAATAAGTCATATTTACCACAACACGCTCTTTGTGAAAAGCATGACATGGATACGATAAAAACGAATCATTCACTAACCTAACAAGGTTTCTTCAGTGATATTATTATAAAGACACTCGCGTTAGCTTACAAATTAGACTAGAAATGGCTAACTAGCCATCTAAAATGTGCATTGCCCTTTGGCCCAAATTACTGCTTGTATGGGTTATGTAGTTTTCGTATAGCCTCAGTTTACCCCTATTGGCCCATTAAGAGCATGTATTCAACAACATTTCCCACAATTCCAGTGTAGCACCTATTATAACCTGTCAAAGGAAAATGTAGTTCGTCAATGATATATTTTCATTGCAATTTACATTAATCAGGAATACGTTGAACTACAAGTACCAGCAAGGAGTATGATAATCTGACAGCTCACTTCCGGAGATAGGGCACTACGTTTGCTACCATTGCTCCACAGCTAGCAGCTAACTCAGTTAGAAACCAAACCGTTCCTTAGTAACCACACTCATTGAATGACACACTAGTTTAGAAATGTATTTTTTTAGTTTCAATACATGTCTGATCTTCTTAATTGTGTTTGTAATTGAAGTTAAAATATACAATGAAAGTTATTTCTCACCTGAATCGGCCGCTGTGTCACTACCCGGCTCTCAGCTAGCTAAACTAGCCACTTCTCGAGGAAACTGATGTGAACACGTCAGTACTTCCGCGAGGATTCAAGCTGACGGCAGGCTGGGTAGTAGAGCCCGGATAAAGATGAACTACTGATCGAAGGCTTCCGCCTATAGAGCAAGCCCCCCAGGAAGTGCGCCGGAAAATATTCGTTGTGGCCAAACGGCGGTACTACACTTCCGTATGGGTTGCTGGGCCCGGAAACACTTTTTCCCATTGATTTACATTGGGAAAGAGTGGTCTGTAAATCGTTGGATTAATTTTTTTTAAACTAAATAAACTACCCAGTATGAACATTTGTATAGCCCTTATTAAAAATATTCGGTCCTCAAGTTGTAAAATGTGCTAATAACGTTATTATGAGAGTTATTTTCCTCTGCATTATGAACACGCATCTGTGAGTGGGAGCTCGGGGGCGGGGCTTAAGGGGAAACTCAACTGCGCATGCTCTATGAGCGCACATATGGGTACTTCTACTCTGACAGCCAGGCATGACGGGTAATCTGTGACGTTTCGCTCTCTCAAAAGTTGGGCCATTTTGTCCTCATGCGCCAATGAGCAGCTCTCATAGGAAAGAACGAGACCCCGCCTCCCACGCTGTATCCGGGGTTGCGGTCGAATAGTCCATTTAGCTTAGGAACCTTCCTAACGGAGTGAAATGACCCGGAAGTCCCTCAGTGGCAGCCATGATAAGTGCCGTTCGAATTCTCTAAATGAAAGGAAAGGAGGTTTCAAACTTCCTTTATAACCTCCTTTAGCTTAGGAACCACTGGACCTCCCTAACCTAAAGGAGAGGAGAAAATGCTGCCCCACAATGCCTTGCAGCATTTGCCGTCACACAACAGTCGGCCGTCACACAACAGTCGGCCGTTCACGGAAACAACCGATTATGAACGAGAAATGATATCATGAAAGTTACGGTGCTTATTAAGCATTTCAAAACGTATGTGGTAAGTTGCCAAAGTGCTTTGTTTTGGACGTTCATCAGTATTATAATCAAAAAGAGAAATATGAACGTTAGTTTTTACTGAAATGATCAAATAAAGTCAACATTTCACAGTCTTTACTGAGCTGTGTGGGGTTTGTTCAACTTTTAAAAGATGTTTGAATGGTGATATACACAGTGATAGATGTTAAGGACTAACGTTTATAATAAATACATTTGTATTGATTTTAAGATCTTTTCATACAATCATACGTATTGGGATCATTTGTATTAATGTGGACCGGAGGGCGAGGGTGACGAGCATAAGTTTCACTTTCCTTTTTTATTTCAATTCCAACTTTGGTCATGAAGAATATGTTTCTCTGTTGTCCCCGTTCATAAAGCATAAAACAACAGCATCAGAGCACAGTGCAGAGTCTCTAGATGAATTTACAGTAGTCCCTCATTCTTATTAAACATCCATGTTGTAGTCCGCTGTATAGAAAACTGTAGTTTCCATAGTTTCCCCACAGCAGCAGACGCACATTTATGACGTCCGCTGGCGCATCATAAACACGTCGGATAGTGAAAGTGCAGTCGGATTCTCTAAAGTACCGCAGTCTCTTCTCCTAAATCCTTTTGAATTCTCCTATCCACACTATCCCTTAACCCCGTGACGTTTCACTCAGAGGTCAAGGAATAGACGATAGGGTTAGAATTTAGGAGCTGATTTTTGGACTATTCGACCGCAACCCAGTTCTTATTATAGAGAGGCAAAGTCCCTCCCCTTCCGGTGGGACTCATGGGACCTTATTTCGGAAAAAGTTTGTATTGAAGTCAATGGAGAGAGAAAGATGATCTTTCGATCCCGTTTGAATTGTGCCATGAATTACACATATGATGTTTGTCAATCTTAAATAATAATTTCCATGTCAAAAAAGTCACAGTTTGTCGTAAAACTGTTGAAATATAAGACTATGAAAAATACGCAACTAGAAAGACTACAAATCCCAGAATCCCGGTCCCGCATGCTGGCTCTTACGGAACCAACTAACTCCCCTTTTGTGTATGTACAGCTCTCAACATGCCCAGACTTGTAGTGATTTTCATCTCTTTTAATACTTTTTGCCTCATTCTGAAAGAAAGAAGTGAAATATGCTAACGTGACGGCCGTCTTGGTGTGTGGTGCGAGACGGGAGATGTAGTTCATTGAGCGGTTTCACACAAAAAAAGTGTTACTTCACAGTTTTACGACACATTTTAATTTTTTTGACTTGTAAAATTATCTTTTAAATTGACAAACATCATATGTGGAATTCGTGGCACAATTCAAACGGGATCGAAAGATAATCTTTCTCTCTCCATTGACTTCAATGCATAACTTTTCCGAAATAAGGTCCCATGGAGCTCAACCGGAAGGGGAGGGACTTCACCTCTCTATACATCCATGCTATAGAGTGGCGAAGTCCCTCCCACTTACTTCCGGGGTATGGGACCTTATTTTGGAAAAATTATGCATTGAAGTCAATGGGGAGAGAAAACTTATCTTTCGATCCCGTTTGAATTGTGCCATGAATTACACATATGATGTTTGTCAATCTTAAAAAATCATTTCCATGTCAAAAAAGTCACAGTTTGTCTTAAAACTGTTGAAATATAAGACTTTGAAAAATACGAAACTAGAAAGACTACAAATCCCAGAGTCGCGTAAGTGATGTCACAATTGAGACACTACGATACACGTATAATACCGTATATATACGATCAGCGCCATATAGATAGAATCTATCTATATGGCGCTGGCTAAGATAAGATAACTTTGTGCCTGTGTGCTTAGTACCAGGTTGTTATTATACCAGCAATGGGTCTTGCTCGTTCTTTCGCTTCCCGTCTGATGAAAGAGGAGTGTGTGGATCAAGTTAGCTACCTAGCTAGTAGCTAGCACGTTAGTTAGCATTACAGCCTTGTCATTTTTATTAGCCTTAACATGAAGTAACATTAAGTAACCCAAAATGTTAAACAGTAAGAGTAGTAGTCATATTTCGTGAACCCTTTGAATAGTACTGTCACCGGTGTGATCATTCTATAATACACAATTTAAGCCCGGGGGAGAAATGCTAACGCTAACGCTAGCGATCTTCTCTACTTCATGCTATCTGCACAAATGGTTGACATTAAACATTAAAACGACCAGGCAGTTCAGAGAGAATCAAAGGAAGGAGGGCAGGCAGCTTTGCATGACATTCTTCAGGACGTGTTTCATTGTAGTGATAGTGAGGGTAGTCTCTTGTGTTGACAAGACAGTAGTGACGGCCATCTTGGTGACGTGTGTTGTTGACCAGAGATCAGATGTAGTTCTTTGAGCGTTTCACACAAACAAATGTGTTACTTCACAGTTTTACGACACATTTTTTTTTTTTGACTTGCAAAATTATCTTTTAAATTGACAAACAACATATGTGTAATTCATGGCACAATTCAAACGGGATCGAAAGATAATCTTTCTCTCTCCATTGACTTCAATACATAATTTTTCCGAATTAAGGTCCCATGGAGGTCCACCGGAAGGGGAGGGACTTCGCCACTCTATAGAGTGCCACAGTGACGCGTCCTAAAACCCGGAAGTAAGTTAGCATTTTTACCACTTCCGGTTCCATCGACAAAAAGCAATGCAATTTCTCCATACAGTAGGATTTTGGAAAATAGCTCGAAATAAGGTCTGTGGTTGACACAAATTGAAGAGACAGATCACATTTTGTTCTACGACATTAAATACATCAGCAGTGACCCCACTGGTGATTTTTGAAGAGTTTACGTGTCTGAAAAACGATGGTTGTTACCAAGTGGCTGAATAGGACTACAGAAATTGTCGAGGCCGTGGTACGTCATTACGCCGAAAACACTCCTCTAAGTTTGTTTGTCCGGCCTGTTCTGCTTGAAAGCAAGTACCTGCCTCCTGCAAACTGTTCAAACAAACGCTTCAACTTGGACCATTTAGAATCTGTATTTTTGAAATTGTTGTTTTTAACACCGTAGTTTTACAAATTATAGAATAATTAATTACCGTTAGTTTTCCAATTTTACTCGGCAGTTCGTTTCGTACTTTTTTTTGTTGTTTTTTTTGTTTATTGCTTGTCTTTTTAATTTGTAATGTGCAATGCCTTTTCTTTTTATGCTGCTGCAACACAAACATTTCCCAAATTGGGATCAATAAAGTACTATCTTATCTTATCTTAATTAAGAAATATAACTATTATAATTAGTGTAGCAGCTGACTGACACCTATTTTCAATATGGATTAATCTACCATTTATTTCTTTAGTTCAATTTTGGTCTATAAAAATGTCAAAATAGTGAAAATGTTCACGAGACTTATCAAAGTGAAAGGTTATATCTTTAGATGTTTTGTTTTAGCCTATGTACTGTATGTCTTAATGCTCTTATATGTGACGCTGTGACTTCCATGAAACTAATATTTTATATCTTCTCAACAGACGAGCTGACAGGAAGCCCAATGCCTGTTCCCGCATCTGCAGCTGTCATTTTCCTTTACGAAAGAGAAAAAGGCATGTTTCATTTGAAGCACAGAATGTAGAAGAGCATTACTGTCTGAGAGGGATACTTGATGGAATGGAGGAAGAAGCTACGTGTCTAATGACTGAGGAGGAAGCAGGTCCATTAACACAGGCGGCTGCTAATGAAGGTCCTCAACCACTATCTGAGAATGCCGAGGAGCAAGCCACCAGTAAAACGGTAGAAGAAAAACTTCAATCTAAGCAAAGACACATAATGCAGCTAGAGATCCAGCTAGAGGAGTCCAAGGCAAAGCAGAGTTACTGCCGTGACAAGTATTCTGCCTCTCAGCTGAGTGAAAGGGTTCTTCTGATGGAAACAGGATTGCCAGATAGAGACACATTCAGTGCTGTGTGTGAGTATGTTGCTCGTTTTGAGGGATCCATTACATACCCAGAAGGTTGGTTCCCCAAAGCACTGAGTCTTGAAGACCAGGTTTTCATGACCCTCATGAAACTGCGTCATAGTTACACACACCTTCATCTGGCTGCACTCTTTCACTGCGGTGAAAGCACTGTCAAAAATGTGATTGTAACATTTATAGAGGTTCTCCACAAATTACTTTTTAAGGACATAATGAGTACTGTTCCCAGCC